CGTACTACCATACCCAAAACATCCCATTCGCATTGTTTCTTTTTTTTTTTCTTTAATTACTATTCGACAAACTTTTTTCGTATCATCTACCAGCAATTTATTTACGACACAATTTATCACTTCAAGTAAAATGATATAATCGTATTTAACACGAAATTTTGCTAATTACATCTTTCTAATATGTATTTCTAATATGATATAAATTGTATAAATTATATCTAATATAATATAAATTACAAGGTCAAGTCAAACCAACCTAAACCTAATCAGACAAGTATGCAAGAGAGTAGCGACAGAATTATTCCATTCTAACTTATATTCCATGTAGGTTTCTAATATGATATAAATTATATAAATTATATCTAATATAATAAAATATTATAAATTATAAGGTCAAGTCAAACCAACCTAAACCTAATCAGACAAGTATGCAGGAGAGTAGTGACAGAATTATTCCACTCTAACCTATATTCTATGTAGGTAAGAGTCTCACGAGTTTGTTTCATAAAAAATAAAAAAAAAACAAGATATTCTTGATCGCATGGACGCATTGGCGTTTAATAATCGAAGCACCGCCCGTGCCACGCTGTTGTTCCCTATCAATTATCGATCGATTTGCATAGCGCAGAATGCCGTGTGTCTGCCCACCGCGAGCGAGCGAAAGAATTTGAAAGAACGACCGATGAAACGATTCCGAGAGACATTCTCTCACTAGGGAGTATTGTGTGTCGACGGTGATCGTTTCCGGGTGAAAGTGACGTGATTTTCAAAGCGAGTCCATTGAATGGGAGGGTTGGAATCCTCGTTTGATAAAAAAGAAAAGAAACTTTGGAGGGAAAAGCGTTCTTTGGATTTCATTACAAGTGTGGGAAATATTCTTCAAAGTAGTGGAAGGAGCAGATTAAAATTGTCAGTCTTCCAACGTAACCTTACTAACGACTCTATTTCTTTCACTGTCTGTGTGTCTCCCTTTCCTTCGCGTTTTATCATATAAAAGACACATTGATGCATATTACGTTTCTTAATGCACGCACACAATTAAAGTTGAATAAATTTTTTCTTTAAGAAATATTTCGAAACAAACAATTTTAAAAAATATTACTTATTTATTGTTCGAAGTTTGGATAGTGAGCGTGTGAACCGTAAAACCACAAAGTAGGCTAAAACTTAACTTTCCTCCAACTTTGTACAATTTTATTCGTATCAACTTTTAATATAATATCCGTGAAACTTTCGACATTTCAATCAACCTTTTCAATTCGAACTAAAATCAAACTGTTCGATTTCAAAAAATAAAATAGTAAATATCACACAATATCGCGCCCTTCATCTTCGCGCGTTGAGGGGAAATAAAAGAATTTAAGGAATATTCTGAAACAGAACTAACAATTTACGAAATCATGTCACAAGATAAGCCGAAAATTATATTCAACTTTCCTCAGATTCCAATTTTTTTCAACGCAATATCCGCAAAAAAGCACTTGGCATCCCATCAATTCGAAAAAGAAAAAGAAAAATCAACCTGTTCGATTTTAAAAAATAAAATAATAAATATCATACAACTCGCGTCCTTCATCTTCGTTGCGGGGAATAAAAGAATTTAAAAAAATATTCTGAAACAGAACTAACAATTTAAGAAATCATGTCACAAAATAAGCCGAAACTTATATTTAATTTTCCTCCAACTTTGTTAGATTCCAATTTTTTTCAACGCAATATCCGCAAAAAAGCACTCGGCATCCCACCAATTCGAAAGAGAAAAAGAAAAATCAACCTGTTTGACTTCAATGAAATAAAAGAAAGTAAATGTCACACACAACTGGCAGAACCCTTCATCTTCGTTGCAAGCTGCAATTACCATGGTCGTGTGGCATTTGATCGGGCGGCCGTTTCGCCACGAGGTTTACGATCGTTTTTCCGTGATCACGAGCAGGCGGCTCCAGCGCAGTGCAACTATGCCCGCAGTGCAACGTTATTGCACCGGTGAGAACGCGCCTTTCGGTAGAGGCGTCGCGAAACGCCTGGCGTCGTCGTTTGTCAACCGTGGCCCAGCTGCTGAACACGCGCGCACCATCGGCCGTGTGTGAGCACGAATCCCACCGTGTGCCGTGTAGCCGCGCCGACTGTCATCGATAAGCCACGATCGATAAACGGGACAAATTCACCGCTATCTCCGCGGCGCGGCGTTACGCCCACGCGAATTTCAAGCGAGAGTGACAAGCAGCGAAACGGAGAGAACACCGGACAAGCTTTCGTCCGTACTTATAAATTCGGCGAATCTTTTCGCGTGTCATCTTCTCGATAAGATGGAATTTTAAAACACGAATCAGTGGAAGAGGGAATTAAAATTTTCTGTTTTCCAAACATTTCGATTTTGTTGCGCTTTGTGGCACAATGAATATATATCTTCTTTTTCAACTTTCCATTTTGCAACTAAAATGTCGTTGCTTGTGAAAAAGAATTCGACGCCTTTTTAATTTTATCGCTGCTTCTGGCAAAATTGAACGCAAATGTATAGATAATATAGATTTTTAACGTAAAAGATATTTATATTAAAATTCCATAAAAAATATTTCATCGTACATTTGCAGATAGAATGTAAGAAAGGTGAAATACGTGGTGTATTTGTAAGATGCTTTGGCTTTCCAAACGAAATTTTAGGATTGTCATCACTACTCTAAAAGTTACAAATTGTGAAGTCAGTTTTATACTATTATACAATTAATTCGAAAAGTCTTCGATACTTAAAATTGCTATAACTTGATAAAAGAAGATCGTATAACAATTTATACTTGGTCTCATTTTAAAACGTAAAATTTTAAAACAACTGCTGTGAGTTTGTTTTCTTTCAAAGATATTTTGGAAATGTCCCTTTCGTTTAAAAAATTGCACAAATTCAGACTGTCTTTGAAAACATTGAACAAAATTTTTCGTGACTAAATCCATAACGATCTTGAAGATCAAAGTTTTCTGTTTATATCTTAAATTTGCTGTATGATTTATTCTTCTTCCTTTTTTTTTTTTTTTTTTTTGTCATTTTGTTCAACTTTAAACATTGGAATTAAACGACAAAAATTCAAAAAATCCTAACATTTCGTCGTCTAGTCCTAATGTTCAAAGTTCAATAAAATGATTAAAAAAAAAAAAAATCGTTCAGCAAGTATTGAGGGATCCTTGTAAAAGCACAGACTTTATTCTTCAAAACGATGTGGGATCTAGTTTTCAATATTTTCACACACATTTGAATTTTCTAGAATAAAAGTACTCCCACTTTCTCACATGTTTTTATATGATGTAAAAACGTCTTTGAAAAAGGAACGAATTTAGGACAGTGAAAGTAGAAATTTTAAAGTATGCTTTAAAATAAAACCAAGTAGGTTATTATATAATATAACTTGTTTCTGTCAACTTACAACAGTTTAAATTAAATTATCAGCAATTTTTCATCATTACCTGTTCAATTATGCTCCTCACTGCATATGTATGATGAAATAATTAAAAAAAAAAATTACTTAAATTACTGTGATAAAAAGAACTGATTCATACCAAGTTTAGAGGCAAAAAAACTCAATCGTGTATTTCGCCAACCATCAACGACTTTGCGCCTCGTTATGATCAGTAATATCATTCCTCAAACTCTGCACTGCTGATAACTTTGCCTCTAAAATCCGTTGTCGACAAATTGAAATTGAGTCACCAACGTTACGTGATGAATTTCGAACGGTGAGAAACACCGGAGCAATTTCATCGGAATCGTTTAATCATCCGGTTCCCAGAAAATTACGACTCTCATCGATGACACGCGGTGGAAACCACGCGATATCGCATAATCGTCATCGTCGAGCGTGTGGCCCGGGCCGCGCTAAATCACCGAGGCGAGTGCGAAACTGGCGACCGTAAATCATCGAACCGGGGTGAAAAATACCGTAGGTAACGCGCGCCGTTTACCCGTATCCGTGGAAATTACGTTTTAATCATCGGCGCGCAAGTGCATTAAGAGCGGCGTGGTATAAATTACGCGGGAGAGGCGGACGTTGGCTCGCTCGTGGCTGGCTCGAGCTGTGTGTTGCAATTTGCTTTAGCGGCGTGCACGCGGCAACCGTTTGTGGTTTGTATTCAAATGGGCGCTGCTGCACGCTCCTTTCCCGCGTGCCTTTTGCCTCTATCTTTGCCTTTACCGGTACCGTTAGATTCGATACGACCACCAACCACCGTCTCGAATCGATGCTATCGAATATGCCCCGGTGTATCGAACGAAATCTCCAGCGTTATGAGTGATTCCTGTGTTTGGCCAGCGACAAACGTCGCACGAACAAAGTTGGTAAACAAATGGGAATCGCGGCGCAAAACCCGTGGCCCGTTCGTTTATTCTGTACCCCTTGTATCAGGGTTAATTAATTCATTTTAATAATTTTAATAATCTCGAAAGTAAATGATTTAAATATATATGTATATTTTATTATATGCAGGATAATATATACATATATATCATTAAGATTATTAATATATTATAATATTAATATTATATATATTTATATAATATTATATTATATATATATTTTTTTGTAAAATAAAAAAAATAAGTATATGGTATATGCATAAATATATATAATAATATATATTATTAATAGTATTAATATATTATAATATATTATAATATTAATATTTAATATAATATAATATATATTTATCTATATATATTATTTTAATATATATATATATATATATATATATGTATATTTCTTTTTGTAAAATAAGAAAAATAAATATATGTTATATGTTATATATATATATATAAATAACAATATATATTTTTAATATTATTAATATATCATATTACAATATTAATATTTAATATAATATTATAATATATATATAAATTATTGTTTTTTGTAAAATAAAAAAAATAAATATATATTTAGAAATTAAGTATTTGTCGTATTAATATCTAGCCTTTTTTTAATAATAAATCTAATTTATATTAAAGTTTATGTACTCACCCCGAGCGGAGACAGAGCGTTCAGTGTTTCGCCGTCCACCTCCTTCACGTCGCCCGTTTCCTCCTTATTCCCCTCTTCGACCAACGGCGGGCTATCCGGCCCGCTGGCCGCCAATTCCGCGATCAGAGTGTCGTTCGAGTCGCACTTGTTCAAATTCGTGTCTTCCGTGGTGAGGGTCTCCAGCGACACCGCGTCGTTTCTCTCGGCCGTGCCAGACACGCAGGAGCCACACTCATCCACCGTGCACTCCCGGTCGTTCAACGAGTCTCTCGCATCCTCGTACACGGACGTCCGGCTTCTTCTTAGGTCAGCCTCGTTGCTTTCGTTCGCCTCGTCCTCGGTTAGTCTCGCGAGAGGTTCGTCCTCCGACTCGTCGGGATTGTCATTTTTCGCGGAACTCGTCGGAGGATTGTCGTTCGACGACCGAACGCCCTCCAAAGTATCGTTCGCCGTCGGACTCGATGCTTCCTCCGTCTCCGCGATCCTCTCGTCCAGGTATTCCGACTGTTTCTGCAGGAGGACGTCGAGGTCCTCCTGGTGAGATTCGTCCAGGTACCAGGAGGTACAGACTTCCGGCCGTTTCTTGTCCGAGGAACCTTCGTCGCCTTTGGAAAGAGCACCCTTGCACTTCCTCAGGTAGCTCTTCACTTTCTTGGTCTTGCTCTTTCTCGTTTCCTGGCTTCGCGGCAAGGTGCCACCTTCAGGCTGCTGCTCGCTACTCGCCTCGCCAGTGTCACCGACGATCCGAGATTGCCCGGCATCCGTGTCGTGCACCGACTTCGATTTCACGTCGGAGACGTCGTCGAAGAATGAACAAAGATCGCGCTGGTCCGGGGCTAATGTCCAGGTCTCCTCTCGCTCCGGCCCGCGGCGCTCTGCCGGTATCACCTGCAACAATACGGTTTTTCTCAATGAAGATTTTCAGTTGATGAAGGGGGGGGGGGATTCTGGTAATCCGGCTTAAAGAAATGAATTTCTTGTTTTACATTTTCTCAAAGTATATGCTTTCGAAAGGATTTGTTTTGAATTCGTAAAATTAGCAAAGTTATAGACGTTTAAAGGAAATTACGGAACGACGTACTGCTCGCAACGTAAGTATGAATATTTTTATGCAACGGGTAACAAAAACTTCAAATGTGTTTTACTCAAAAAATATTTTATTTTATAATATTATTATTTATTTTTATACTATTATCATTTTATAATATTTTATTTTTTGTACTGCTCGATTGATTGTAAGTATGAATATTTTTGTGCAACGGGTGACAGAAACTTCAAATGTGTTTCTCTCAAATTCATACTTTTTGAACTGATTGACGGGATATTTCACGTTTTAGTTGACCGATTGACTTGAAATTTAATACCTTTATCAGCATGAACCACGGATTTCAAAATCTGATGTTTCTTTTTATTTTTGTTTACCACCCAAAAGACGAAAGTACAAGGAAAATCGATATTTAAATTTCAAAATGCTGCCATTTTTCTAGTTTTTGAAATTTCGCTGTTTCAATGGTACATGCTACAGCCATATTTGTACTAACTACGATGCCAATAACCAATGCAAGAAGCATTAACCCAATTGATCGTAAGCCTGTCCTATATCAAGAAGTTATATGCGTTAAGGATGAATAAAATCAACTGTAGACAATATCAAATCGATGATTCACAACGTAATAAATGACTTCTATCGAGAAATTCCTTTCAGCGGATTGACAGAAAAAAAAGAAAAAAAAGGGAAGAATTATACTGGCTCTGAACGTCATGAACATCTAATTAAAAAGACTGGCGCAATAGGTGTCAAACAATCTGTCACAGCTCGACACGTTCTTTATGAATGCACAAACTTTCGAGTTGCAGAGAACATTCGATACCGACTTTTCAAAATCATCTGAAGAGAATGCTTCAATACTTGATGGACATGTATCTATACTATAAAGTACAAGTACCAAGTCACTAATGATATCTCGACGTCGATGCGACTTGAAATCTGCACAAAAGAAAAAAGATTCAGCCACGAATCCTCGAGTCTATGATTCTGCAGATAGCTGCATTTGTCCTAAATGTTTCACTCGGAAATAAAACTACGACCACTTGTCCTCCCCCCTCGCGTTGTACGAGATTCGTACTACACGAGTTGCTTTGCGTCACAATTGATCTTTGACAATGGAAAATCGTACAGCCTCCCGAGAGGGGGGTTATTACATTCACCACCGCTGCCCATATTCGCCGGCCTGTAATTCCCTTTATAGAAACACGAAAGGACAACACGCGCGAGAGTCGCGTTGGCAATGCAGCAGAGTCGTAGGCCAGCGTCACGATCAACGGCTTTCGCAAGCCTCGAGCCAGAAGCTGATTAATTCTGCGTTGATCTACGATGGGAAAATCGGGAGCTGGGAGTAACGGAGACACCCGGGTAAAAAAGGCGAGGCGGATCGGAGCCGAGAGCAAACAGCGTGGCGGCCCGAGAGCGGTCATTCAATTCTATTTCGCAAGAGCGGAGTTCCGCAGCTGGTAGCGGGCGCGGAGCTGCGCCCAACGTACAACTGTATCAGCGGCTGTCGGCCAGCGTTCAGCGCCGCATAAAACAATGGGGGTTTATAGTAAATATATCGGCGGACGGCGCCGGCCATGGCTAATATTAACCTCGAGCTGCGCGTAACCACGATATTTTACGCTACGCTTCGGCACCAAAGTTCCGCGCTCGATACAACTTCCCCGCGGAATATCTCCGGTTTCATAATAGCGTCGCGACTTCCTAATCTTTTTTTTTTTTTTTTTTTAAATCAACCGAGAAGATCCCACAAGCTCCAACAAGCCGAAAATTTACTAAAATATCGTTTCGCCTTCCACAAAAGAATTTAATTTCAAGTGACTTTTCTCGCATGAAAAAAAAGAATTATAAGTATATTCACAGCTGAGAGATCTTGAAATGTCTCTTTGAAGATTTTACAGACTTCATTGGCAAACGCAGGTACTTTGAAATTCTATAAGGAGAAAGAAAAGAATCATGCAAAACAGAGGTAAAAAGAAAAGAGATCCGTACGAATGCTGAGAGAGGGGTAAAATAAATAAATCAACAGCAACAGCGCGTATCCTCAATATTCACAGAGATCGCAAGACAAATCGGCGATCGTTTGGGGTAAATGCGGGACGCATAGATCAGCTAATGCGTAAACGCTCGTGCGGCGAGCACGAGGAAGCTGAAAAAGCCAAGGGGGACCGGCTATCGTATTTAACGTCATCATCGGTCACCGTCGCGGCACTAATACATCAGGTGTTTATCTCGCGGTTCCGTTCATATTTCCCCTGATATACGCGTCTTCCGCGACTGAATCGATAAGCGGCTCGTCCACGGCGGCATCAATTCTCCTCTCGCGGCACCGCGATGGCATTCAATGTGGAAACGCGGAAACGGCCGGCAAATATCTCTTCCTTAATAAGTCTGGCTAACAGAGTTTGCATGTTTTCGCGCTGCGAGCGCGGATCGACAGCGGAACCGGCTGCCTCTATCGTTCTGGAGGAGGTCTGGAAGCGGCGAGATTCAATCTACGCGATGACGCGATAGCGCGACGAGGCGTGGGAGCGAGTCGAAGCTAATCTTTCGAGGCGAGTTGGCTCGAGAGAAGCGCGTGTCTCCACGGCCGGTTCCCTCCTCGGGGAGGGAAAGAACCCGTCAAGAGGGAAAGTTCGTCGGAGCGTGGCCCGTTTGCCAGCCTCGACGCGAGCAAAAATCGCTAAAGAATATTAAACGATCCTGCCGGCTGTTCATTGTAAGAAGAGAGCGAACGCAGGCCTAAGTACCCTTTCTCTCCGCTCGTCGAAGCTTCCTCGTCGAATTGTTACTTGGTTACTCCTTCTCATCTGCCATTCTCTCCCCGGTGATTTTCAACTCTGCCCGTTTGTCTTATTAACTCGAAGCTGCAGGTGGTAGACATTCAGCACGCTCGATTTCGAAAGAAGAAAAGGAGTGTGAGATCTTGCTCTTCTCCGCCCCTCGGATACAACAAAAATCTAATTGCGAGATACGTCTGTCAGACGGGTGTTGAATCGCGGACTCGGTTTGATGTCTGTACTCAAACTTAACAGGCGCGTTGAAATGGGACGTTACCCGTGGTTAGTGATCGATTCGAGGAGAACCGGCGATTCCGTTCGACTGTATTATTTTCATGCTACTACTTCGATTCGATTCGAATTTGTATCTGCGACTGTAACTCTAACTGCCTTCCCTGCTGACGGCGTGTTTTATAATCTTATGGCCTGGCGATTTATAGCCAATCAATTTTGACGCGACGTAGATGCTAATATTTAAATACGATCGATATCAACCTATTGCTTTTTAACGCTATAGACATAACAGGCCCGCGAATCGTCTACCAAGGATAAATAAATAAAATAGAAAGGACCTCTTGAAAAGACCAACATGAAGAAACGGGCGAACCCTTAGTCAGAAATATTCTAAACTTAGACAATGGATTCTTCATAGATGATAGAAAGCCTAACGTCTTTGGTTTAGAAAATTCTGTATCGCGATTATTACAACCGACCACGGTTCTTCGTTCATCGAAGCCATCAACACTTCAACAGAGGATATTATGCATCTGTTGGTAAAACGTGCGTTCGGCGCAGCGTTAGTACGCAGCATTCGTTCTACGCATGCGCAGCTTCAGTCTACCTGCGCGCTACATCGTGCGCGGGGGCCACTTTCCCCTTTCCCGAAACCGTTTCTTCGCCGTCGAACGAGGCAACTTCGATTAAAACGTCACCCTTGGCTCTGTCTAGAGTAACGAGCAGCAAGCAAGCAAGCAAGCAAGCAACGTTTTCGATCGCTCGTGCGGCGTGCCTTCCTTCCGAGAACCGATAATACCGCGCTGTGACACGTGAAATCGAACGGGGCCCATGGTGGTGCTACGTGTGCTACGCGAGTACGTCGCGACGCGACGCCGCGCCGCTAAATCACCTCTCCGCCGGAACTGTGGTCGAGAGACGCGCGTGTACGCGACACGAGCGCAGGCAACCAGCACTCCTCTGTACGGAAACCCGTTAAGAAACGGCCAGTTCTCTCGGTAACGAGAAGTTACCGATCGTCAATGCAACAAGCAAGAAGAGGGGGAGGGGTTTATAAATAGGTACGTCGCCGCCGTTGCGCAACCACTCTCGCCAAAAAGGTGTACGCGGCCGTGGATAATTGCGCAACAATGCTCGACGAGACAATGAAATATCGTGTAATCGCGTACTCTCCGTGAGTAGCTGCCGGTGTTTGCGTACACTACGGCATCACCTTCATCTTTTCACCGGTGCACGCTCGACGCAAACCGTTTCCTGAACTCGCGAACCGGGTACGGTGAACCGGGAACGCGCGTGTAGAATGTTTCAAGGGCCTTTCGTTATCGCGAGGTAATTGAAACGTGAAACTAGGAAGAGATCGGAGATATTATCGCGGTCGGTTGAAGATGGTAACTTTCAGTGCGAAACTTCGAAGCGAAATTAAGAGAATCTATCGCTTGTTACTGAAACGTTGCTAGACGTTATAAAGCACGCAAATACTTTACAATTGTTCACAACGTTTTGTAACAATTTGTGAAACTCGAGTCGCGTCGTAAACACCTGCAGCACTAAATTTAGCGACCTCGCGAATCGCAAGCGAATTTCTCGCAGATTAACACGCGACTTAACCGGAATTGATGCGCTTTATCGGCCAATAAACTGAGGGAACGTTTTCCACTACGTGCGTCCAGTTTACGCGCGGATGCATGAAACCTTTACAGCCAACAGGCGGCTGCACGACCGTGCATCACACGTAGCGTCGAAAGAGCTCTACCTTTTAACGAGCCTGCGTCGTAAAACCTTTACCCGACTTTGCGTCGACTTACGAGGAGAACGATCCTCGA